TGATTTTAAAACTTTTTATACTCATACATTTCGAGAAAAAAGTATGCTTTTATGTTTACACTTAAGACAGACGGAAGTAAGTTTATACATTTTTTGCTGTTTTCTCATATAAATATCTGTTCTTACTAAAAATGTATTAAAGTGCTTTTTAGTATTAAAAATTTATTTAAGAGCTTATCAGTATATCCAGTTTTTGGGGGAGACAGAAGCAGTCCTTGAGATTTTATTTAGAATCTAGACTAAATTAAAAAACATATACAACAATTCTGGCTTTACAACTCTGCGTAGGTCCTGGTTTTCTCAAGAATTTCTCTCTAGTCGTCATTATTCATTGCCTTACTCTACCAAGCATTCATTTTCACATTTCTCTGTCTTTATCGATATTGTCAAGGAAGCTTGTTCTGGGTCTTCCTCTTCTTCTCTGACCAATGGGTCTACCATGAGTCATTTTGTTTCATCCATATTACATGTCCTATCCACCTCAGATGTCTTATCTTTATATGCTTGACGATATCAGATTTCTGATATATTCTATCGAAGTTTTGTTGTCTTCTTACACTTAATTGTTATTCACTACCCCGTAGATTCGCCTTAGTACTATTCTTTTGAAACATCCTAACATGTTTTTATTATTTTTACTATACATCTCTGAATCATTTGTTAGGACAAAACATATTATTGTTTTATACAGTTTAATTTTTGTATTTCTTGATATCATCATCATCATCATCATCAGTGTTACTACAGCTGGTCATGAGCCAAAGCCTTCTTCAGAACAATCTTTCATTCACCCCTGGCTCTGGCAAATCTTCTCCATGCTTTAACTCCGATGGATTTTAGATCATCCTCTATATTATCTTGTTACCAAAGTTTTGGTCTTCCTCTGGATCGTCTTCTTACTGGTCCTCTTCGGTCGAAAATTTTTCTGATTTCTGATTAGACGGTTTTATATGCTGTTGTTTACTTTACGCTTACGAGTATTTTGGTTTTCCGTATGTTTCGATCCTGACCTGGCTCTCTACAACTCTTAACGACACTATCAAGTAGTGTTTGCAGATCTTCTTAATTAGAAGCTAGAATAACTGTATCGTCCGCATATCGCAAATTATCGATTACTTCGCCGTTCACAAGTATTCCTTCTTGTTTTTCAGAAAGTGCTTTCCTGAAAATTAATTCGGAGTTAATGTTGAAAAGCACGGATGATAAGAGGCATCCCTGCCGTACTTCTCTTTTAATATTAAGAGCCTCTGATTCCACACCATCTACTAAAACTGATGTCGTTTGATTCCAATATAAATTTGCAATTATTCGAACATCTTTGCCGTACAAGCCAATATATGAATTAGTCTTTAATCTGTTTACTTCCTTGGCCTTTCTTTTAGGTTTTAGAGGGCACTATACTGTCCATTTCAGTTAAAATTTCCGTTGTCAGGTGAGTCATGCCTTAAGTGTTCCAAGTACCAACTTTCAAAGTCCTGTTCTTTCAGGTGTCGTCGTCGTAAGTTTCCAACCATATTCTGAGGCACGGCGTTAGAATTTTTAATCAAAAGACTTTTATCCAGATGATAACAAACTGACCAAATGCCCCAAGTACTGACTTTAAAGTCTGTTGTTATGTGGCGTATTTTTTTAAAAGATCTTTTAAGTGACTTTTTAATCATCGATCCAAATTTCTTTAAATATATTGTGATAGTATTGTTGTCTATGAGCCCTGCATCTTTGTTTTATTTGTTTGTTGAAGTTTCTTAAACTTGCTTTTTGACTTTCACTCGGTACACTACTTTGACAAAGATTTCTTTTTCTTCTGTTTTTAACTATTTTAAGGGTTTTTATTCTTCTTCTTATAGTGCCTTCTGTACCACCGTGTGCTCTGTAGCTACGGAAACATCGTGAGCTCCTCTACTTTTGTCCATTTTCAGGATATGAACTTGTAAAGTTTTCTCATCTGATGACTCGTCTTGAGAAAGACGAGTTATTTCTTACACGACGAAGATTCTCCGTTGAAATAAACCATCAGGTTGTCTTCTTTGGTGACTTGCCTTGAAAAAGGCAAGTTATTTCTTACATGAACAATATTAAGTTAAAATAAAGTCGAAATAAAACACCAAATTGTAGTAGAATAAATACTCAGCCACAGAGTATGGAAAGCTAAAAAGGAAGCAGAGCCCCGAGAGCACTAAGCTCTCGGAGAGCCCGTGAAGGACTGACTTATTGACCTGGAAATCGCCTATTGCAAGCAATTTGATTGAACCCAGCCTATGAGACATGTTCACCCAGGTAGTACGATCGGGTGTAACAATTCATTGGAGCAAGGTGTTTTAATTCGTGTTTAAAAACAGGAATCACCCCACCGTGCTCCAATGCTCTAGACCATCCCTTTCCCCCCTATAGCAATCTGATTCGCTATAGAGGCACAACAATCAGCCAAGTGCTCTTCATGTGGAGGTCCTGGGTAATTGAACCCCAACATGGTTTCCTAACCGTATGTGAAAACTCAGGACAGCGCATCTCCGCTTTATTCCTGTTTATCTTAATGTAGCTTATCCGCGAACTAAAATTGCTTACTTGGGCCTCAAGTCTCCGCTCTGAGTCCCGGCTCAGCTCGGCGACTTGGTGCTCAAGGGGGTTGGGCCCTACGTGCCCGGATTTTGGGGTTTTTGTTAGTTTTTTTGGTAGCCGAAGCCGGTTTTTGTTAGTGTTTTTTAATTTTTTTGGTGGCCGAAGCCGTTTTTTGTGTTTTTTATGATTTTTTTTGTAGGTCACCTGTGAAAAGAAAAGTCATAATTAGTACATAGTCTACACTATAATAAATAAAATATTTAAATATTATACATTACCACAATGTAGACTGCATCCTATTGTGAGCAACAGGGCCCACTGTGAATGAGGCGATTTGCTATATTCTGGGTGATTTGAGCTACGAACTGTCTTCTTTATGTGTGTGTGTTTTGATTAGATTTTCTTCTCACTCTGGGCTTTTTGTAATATTTTGTCCCTATTGGGGGGTTTTTTATTTTTCCCTCTGGTTTTGCGTTAGTCTAAAATTTGTTGTTTTGGTCTTTTGTGCTTCCATCTGTGGAAAGCGTCATACCTCATTATCTCTCGTAGGATGTGACTAGGGTGGTTCTCTAGTTCTGCAAATTTTTTCCTAGCTTTTTCTTTCATTGTATCAGTCACTCTGATTTGCTGTAACTCTCTGAACAGGAATCTTTCAGCTACGTATCTTGGTACGTTTACCGCTTCTCTTAGGCTTTTGTTGTGTTGTGCCTGTATTTTCTTTTTCGTTGTGTTGCATATATGTCCCCATGCAAGTGATGCGTATGTCAGTATAGGAAGGACTATACTGTTTATTAGCCTTATTTTGGTTTTTATGCGTAATTTGCTTTTCTTTCCCGCTAGGCCTCTTATTGCGGCCCTTGCCATGTTGGCTTTTTGTACTGTGGCTTCTACGTGTTTATTGAAAGTTAGTCCTTTGTCCATTATTACTCCGGGAAATCGCCTATTTTTATACTTTCATTAGCTTTATACGCTAAGTAGCGATTAGGGATTTCCAGGTCAGGGAGGGGCCAACGGGAAAAATAAGGGGCGGGGCGATGCGTCTCGAACGTGAACTAGTCGCGTCCGAGAACACCGTGCACCTATAGTGCGTTGGCGAGTTATCTTAAAGCCTGTCTTTTGCGGCATGCAAAAGTTCGATATTTATGCCTGTCCAGTTCTTTACGTTCCGTAACCACGACATTTGTTTGCGACTTACTCCTCTCTTGACTTCAATCTTTCTCTGGATGATTAGTTAAGGGATTGCGTATTTTTTTCATCTTAAAATATGGCCGAGGTATCCAATTTTTCGTACCTTGATCAACTTGAGTAGTTCTCTCTCAGTATTTGCCTTTATTAGGACTTGCTCGTTTCTCACCCTATCTGTACATGGTATGCGGAACATTCTTCGCAACCTGCACATTTCAAAGGCCTCCAACTTATTAATGAAAGGTACTCTGAACGTCCATGTTTCCATGGCGTAGAACAATGCAGACCATACATAGCATTTAACCATCCTGTAGCGGAGATTGAAGGAAAGATTGCGGTTACATAGTAGCGGTTTAAATTTGATAAAAGCTTGTCTTGCTTGTTCGGTACGGCAAGTATTTAAATGTCTTCACTTGATCGATTGGAGTATTATATACTAGCAGTTGTATTCTTAACAGTGCATTTATTTGTATTGCCATGCATTTAGTTTTTTTAGTATTTACCTTCAAGCCATATATTTTTCCTACAGTGTTTATTTTATTTAACATCAACTGCATATCATGTTCGTTGTCTGTTATTATCGCGGTGTCGTCAAAGTAACAAATGTTATTAATCGGGAACTCGTTTACTTTTATTCCACACTGAGAACCTTCCGGTGCCTCTGCAAAAATGTTCTTTACATAGAGATTGAAGAGCATAGGAGACAGAATACACCCCTGTCGCACCCCACTTAAAATTTCACGTACTTCTGTGTTGATTGATTTGTTCAGTCTCGTTCGTGCTTTTTGATTCCAATAGATAGGTGTTTGTCCAGTGTTTCTATTTCACAGGATTATTCAGCTTTGGGCGATTAATTAATGATATTACATTACACCACGTGTCTCACTTAGTTTTGCATATTTATTATTACGTACCCTTACTACTTTTTTGCACTTCTTAAAGAAGGTCATCCTTTTTTGTTAGTTATATCCTCTTTGTCTCTCTGCGTTTATTGGGGGAATCAAGTTTGCGCTTTACTTAAGCTATAAGGAGAGTATTCTTCTTCTTAGAGTGCCGTCTCCCTACGGAGGTTGGAAATCATAATGGCTATTTTTATTTTTGAACTTGCTGCTCTAAACAAATCAATCGATTTGCATTGATACCAATCACGAAGATTTTTTAACAGAAAGGAGAGTATGATATAGTACAATTTACTATTTATAAAATTTTTGTTTTTAATGTTGAAATCAAAAATAATAATATTACTCAAAAATTTAGTTTTAAATATTTTATTAAGTAGTTTTAAATATATTACAATTTAAGATTTACAATGTAAAAATTATTTAAAATGATCTATTTTAAACATATTTAAATATTCAAAAAAATAAAAACGAGAAAAATAGTTTTCAAATTGTGTATCAAGGTGTTTTATTTCTCATGGATCTTAGCCTGGTGCTTCATGTATTAAATACTTTTGTAAAATTCTTATTGAGCACAAGTTGTTTTAAATGTTTCGTATAGGTGCTCTATTTCAATGATTTAATAGTTTTACATACAATTTACACTCATTTGTCACTATACAAATATAAATAAATAGTTGTAGTGGAACAAAATTAAATCAAGATAAAATATCGTAGGTACCGCTGCTAGAGAGGAACAAGAGATTAGGCTTCAGTTATTCTAAAATATTTTTACAACTTGGACGGAACCCTACTTCGATAGTTAAATACTAATTTCTTCAAGTCTTTTCTTAAAATTTTGCCGCTAGGATTTTTGGGTATTGAAGGTACAAAGATAACTCCGCCTCTTAGTTTTTTCTGCGACGATACTTTTTCTAAAAAAATACATTTTTAAATAAATTAAAACAAAATAATAAAACATAAATTAGTTTAATGACAAAAGTAAAATAATAAAATTGAAATTTATACAATCCCTGCCATTATTTTATGTTTGTTTTATAGCCAGACTATCGGAAAAGATAATAAAATACTTGTACAACATTTTCAAATCCGAATTTTCCAATAATATATGTAAAATATTACATTTAAATACGTTTTGAAACAATCAAGTAGATATATGAACGAACAAACTCAATAATTTCGCATAATGGATATTGCGCTACAACTCTTCGTGAGTCTTTGCCGCGTTTACTATTGCCTTCTATGTTTGTCGGTCCTGTGCCAGTAATTCCCATTGTCACACTCCCATTTTCTCTAGATCTTCTTTGATTGCATCTTTCCACCTTTTTCTAGGCCGCCCTACAGACCTTCTTCCATCTGGCCTTTTTCAGAACACATTGTTTATAAGGCGATTGTTGTTATTGCGTATCACATGCCCTGGCCATCTGAGTCTATTGGCCTTTATACATCTGACTAGATTTTCGTTTCCGAATAAAGACTCTAGCTCTTTATTGTATCTGCCCCCTATTCGTTTGTCAGGCTATATCTGCAAGGGCCATATATTATTCGAAGAATTTTACGTTCTCACATCAGCAGTTTATTTACTTCTCTTTTTATTAGCGTCCATGTTTCGTTTCCATACGCGAGTGCTGGTCGTATTATGGTCTTATATATCGGGATTTTTGTACCTTGTGAAAGAAGTTTTGACTTCATTAGATGTTGCATTGCAAAGAGAGATCTGTTTCCTGTCATTGTTCTCGTTTCAACTTATCGGTCTAATTTGGAGTCATTTGTGATTATTGCTCCTAGATATTTAAATTCTTTAACCACTTCGAAGTTGTGATCATTTATAGTAACGTTTTGCCTTATTCGCAGTCATTCTTGTTTTGAAACGATCATGTATTTTGTTTTGTCTTCATTTATTTTTAGACCGATGTTTAATGCAGCTTCTTCAAAGCTCGAGATATTGGAATTGCGCAATAGAAATCCTTATTGTTAAAATTCTAGAAAACTTCTAGTTTCGCAAAAAAATTACATTTCGTTGTAGTGAATTGTGTGTGACGACCAATTAATCCATTATTTCCAAGCGTTGCTTTTATGTAACAATACAGTGGCACCATATAATCAGATGTTCTGGCGCACGTGGTATGAATTTTTACTCGACAACAACTCAGATCGTGTCGGCAAACTTTTCCGTTCAAAATAGTTTGGTTAATTTTTCACTATGTGTGTGTTTCGAAATTATATTCCATTAAATATTACAAAAACAAACAACAAAATTAAAAATATCTATAAAAAGTAAGTATAACTATTATATTTTTATAATAAAGTTAAAGTTTTAATATAAAGTTATGAATAGTGCTTTATTTATACTGAAAATAGTATTTTTTGACATGGAAGAAATACTAGGCTCGGACTTTCTTTGTTGCATACATGTAACTATCAGCAGTATTATAATCACTTTATTTTGTTTTTTTTTTGTTGTAGTATGCAGCATTTTAGTGACCGTATTATTTGTTTTGTACCTGATAGTCCTATCAGGGAAAATGAATCAATCCCTACCCTCCGCAGATTCTAGGTGTTTCCTGACCCGGGAAACTAGTACCTGCTTAGGGTCTCTTGTCCAGAGTCACGGATGAAGCCGACAAACGTAGCCACGGTGGAGAAGAATACCTTCGGTACGAAGTGGATGGCGGAAGTGGCAATCCCATGATTATAGTATGATGATTGTATCAAATCACTCACCAACCCGTCCAGCCAACGTGGTGTTTTAAGGCTAAAAAAACCTCCTAACACGAATATGGCGATATCTAAAATAGAAGGAATTGGTCCCCAGGTGGGCAGACCATATGGTAATGGCAAATCCCACTCCTTTGGAAAAAAGGCAGCTTCATAAAATCTAAGGGAAGCAAGAAATCGCTTAAAACCACATGATTGAACTCTAAATATAAGGTCCTTAAGCAAAGATGAAAAAAACTACGAACTCAAAGAAGACATCAAGGACTTTAAATGGGAGATAATTGCAGAGGTCTAGCAGAGGTAATAAGAAAAAAGGATGAGTGCATAACACTAGAGTCCGGTAACGACTTATATTACAAAGGGCTAGAAAAACAAAGCCTAGATTGCGTAGGATTTCTAATTTTCAAGAAATATGCACATAAATTAGAACAATCTATAGGAATATCTGCAAGAATTGCAATTATTAGGCTAAATGTAAACGAGAACATGTCCCTGAAAATTATTCAAGTATACGCTCTAATCGCAGCACATCCCGATGAAGAGATAGACGAATTTGAAAACAGGTTTAAAATACACCAAGTCGAAACTAAGGAAAGAAAAACATAATAACCATTAAAACTGAAAAAGACAACTAGAAAAAAGTAAACCTAATAAAGCGAACTCATTTAAAAAGTTCTACGCCGATCTGTGTCGTTTCAGAAATAATCTTTAAAACTTCATAAAGCAAAACTTAAAAAGGCAGATAACAAATGTCAGCTCAGAAGTGATGCCCGAAAAAAGCCACAAAGAAATTGAAGAGCAGTAAAAGAAATAAAAAAAAAAGAGGTTAATCTTTGTAAATGGTTATATTTATTTAAAAAACCCTTAAAAGGGCCACATCAATAAAACAAACGTTTTCGGACCACACAGTCCATCATCAGGTTTTTAAAATCGAAAAATGCCTAAAAATAAGATAAACCATTTAGTTAAAACAAACGAGATTGTGAAATTTTGACTATGGTTGAAAAGCAAAAGATGGTTATACTTACTAGGTCACAATGCCTGAGCCACCAAAATACTAGGGTAAAAACCCTTTAAATTACATTTAGTTATGAAATATTGTACATTTTGTTGTAAAATAACTGTGATGTTCAGTATTAAATTAAATTTGACTATAGGTAACACATGGCTCAATCTGGTTCCAGAGCCGGTGAGAGGGAACCTCTGCACTCGAAGAACAGCGTGGAACTGATTGACAAGATACTTTTGAAGGATGAAGATAACAGAATGTCAATGTAACAAAAACTATAATAGTTGTACATAGTATTACTACAGCCAAAAGATTCAACAAGTTTTGATGATTTTAAAAAATCCATCCATTCAAAAATTCAAATCCATTTAAAAAAAAAAACCATCATTGATTTGACATCTTTTAGACCCTAAATTAATAAATAAAAAAGTTTTTAAATCCCAACACCTAGATTGTTGTTATTTTTTTTTTAAATCATCAAAACTTGTTGAATCTTTTGGCTGTAGTAATACTATGTACAACTATTATAGTTTTTGTTACATTGACATTCTGTTATCTTTATCCTTCAAAAGTATCTTGTCAATCAGTTCCACGCTGTTCTCCGAGTGCAGAGGTTCCCTCTCACCGGCTCTGGAACCAGATTGAGCCATGTGTTACCTATAGTCAATTTAATTTAATACTGAACATCACAGTTATTTTACAACAAAATGTACAACATTTCATAACTAAATGTAATTTAAAGGGTTTTTACCCTAGTATTTTGGTGGCTCAGGCATTGTGACCTAGTAAGTATAACCATCTTTTGCTTTTCAACCATAGTCAAAATTTCACAATCTCGTTTGTTTTAACTAAATGGTTTATACTTATTTTTAGGCATTTTTCGATTTTAAAAACCTGATGATGGACTGTGTGGTCCGAAAACGTTTGTTTTATTGATGTGGTCCTTTTAAGGGTTTTTTAAATAAATATACCCATTTACAAAGATTAACCTCTTTTTGTTATACGTAGTATACAGGCAGCTACAGGAATTTTTCCTTGTGGATTTTTTTAAATAAAAAGAAATAAAGCTCCTGGAAGCGATGGAATCCTAGCAGAAATGCTGAAGGAAGGCGGAGAAGAAGCCATCACAGATCTAAAAATACTATTTAATAAATGTCTATTTCAAGGCAACATACCCGAACAATGTATTACTGCTAAAACAATACAAATACACAAAAAGGGAGACACTACAGACCTAAAAAATTATCGATCCATTTTAATTCTTTCACAACTTTACAAAACCTGTGACCATGTATATACTTTGAAAATCCTAATAGAAAATGTAACAATAAAACACTGAAAACTTTGTTTTGAAACTTCCACAAAATTTATTTTACATTCTTATCACTACAGCTGTTTCGGCTGATTGCCTTTATCAAGTGATCTATTTTTGGCATGCGTTTACATTTTTTAGACTTTAATAAAATAGGTTGAGGAGAGCAGAACTGTTTGTCTCAAGTTGGTCATTCAGAATTATATATATATATATGTTTTTTAATTTTTTGATTTCCGTAGATTCTAACAAAGATAGCTGAAGGCTTTTATTTTGAATGTGAAACATTTTAAATTCGTCATTAAAAGAATGGTTATGATCTATTATTCAAAGCCCTTTTATGTTTTACTATTCGTTTATTATAAACGGGTCAATTAAAAAAAAATTCCATTGACCTACGTGTAAGATTTTCAGTTAACAAAAATATTCTTACCTGCTACATAATCTTGAAGTTCTTTTTCTGATACAATCTGACCTTCTTTCTTTACAACAAAAGCTAATGGTAATTCACCAGCTCTTTCGTCTGGAAGACCTACTACTCCAGCTTCAAATACTTTTGGATGGTTAACTAGGATAGCTTCTAATTCTGCTGGTGCTACCTGGAATTATAAATTGATTTGGTTAATATTATTGACTTTTATATATATTTATAAAACTTTATTATTAATATTTTCTACAATTTACTTATTGTAATAAGGAAAATAAGGTAAATAAAATTTACCTGATATCCATTATATTTTATTAATTCCTTCAATCTGTCTACCACATAAAAATACTGTTCATCATCATAATACCCAAGATCACCAGTTCTTAGCCACCCGTCATCTGTGAAAGAGTTCCTAGTAGCCTCAGGATTTCTGTAGTAGCCTTTCATAACTGTTGGTCCTTTATAACAGAGTTCTCCTACTTGATGGGGGCCCAGAGATTTGCCTGTTTCGGGATCTCGAACGATGCATTTCATGTATGTGATAACTTTACCACAGGATCCCGGCCTGTAGACATCCTTATTCATGATAGTTAGCGCCAAGGTTCCTTCAGTGCATCCATAAGCTTGATGAATTGCTTTAAGGTTTAACCTAAGAAGAAACAAATTTCGTGAAAATAAACATTTGATTATAAGACCTTTTTACTGCCTAATTTTTTTATATTAATCAAAACCGAATGGAAGCAGTATTGCTGTCAAGGGATCATTCTTTTATATTAGATAATTTATGGTAAAATACCACAATTCCCGCCTTGATTTTGAAAGTGACATATGTCATGTCAGATTGTAACTATAGAATAAGTGAGTAGAGTTCACTTGATGTTGTTTGTTATGGTACTGTAATGGCCGTTGGCTATCAATATTCTTATTATTAAAAGTATTCAATAAATAGTAAAATATTAGTTGTTTTACTACTTCGAATTCAGTAATCACTTTAATTTATGGGTAAACATGTTAGCTAAAAATTTTTGTTGATTAGAATATTCGGGGGCTAAAAAAGAGGGGGCTAAAAAGTGCGAAGAATATCGAACAATCAGCCTAATGAGCCATATGTTAAAACTTTTCTTAGAGTCATCCATGGAAGAATTTATAAGAAGTCCGAGGAACAAATATCGGACAGACAGTTCGGCTTCATTAACGCAGTGGGTACCAGAGAGGCACTTTTCGAAGTACAGGTATTGATTCAAAGATGCAGGGACGTTAACTGCGACGTATACGCGTGCTTGATCGACTATGAAAAGGCATTTGACAGAGTTCAACATCAAAAGCTGATAAACATTTTAAAAGAGGCAGACCTGGATGACAAAGACCTCAAAATAATTTCAGCACTCTACTGGAATCAGACCGCATACATAAATATTAACGGAAAAGAAACAGATCACATAAAAATTCTACGTGGAGTTAGACAGGGATGTATCCTATCGCCGTTGATATTTAATATGTACTCAGAGAAAATTATTAACGAGGCTCTTTACGGAATAGACGAAGGCATCCTTCTAAATGGTGAAAGAGTAAACAATGTTAGATATGACGAAGACACCATGGTGATAGCAGATAGTTTAGAGGGACTTCAGACTAAACATTAATACCCACAAAACGAAACAAATGATTATCAGCAAAGAGAATACAAACGGGGCTCATCTATTAATGGGACGCAGATAGAGCGAGTAAAACAGTATTGTTACCTGGGAACTATTATTAACGAACAGGACTATTAACTATTTACAGAACATTAACTATTTACAGGAAATAAAGTGCCGCATAGGAAAGGCAAGAACGGTCTTTAACAAAATGAGCGCCATCTTCAAAAGTCACAACATATCCCTTGATACAAAAATGAGACATTTGAGATGCTATGTTTTCTCTGTGTTGTTGTACGGGGCGGAGACATGGACGCTTACAGACACCACTATTAAAAAACTTGAAGCATTTGAGATGTGGCTTTATAGAAGAATGCTGAGAATATCATGGACAGCAAGGATCACGAACGAGGAAGTTCTAGGAAAAATGAAGAACGAACCAGAGATTGTGTTTACGATCAAACGCATAAAATTGCAATATCTGAGATACGTTATGAGAAATGAGCACCGTTACTCCCTGCTACAGTCTTTATTGCAAAGTAAAGTCAAAGGTAAGCGAGGACTCGGTAGAAGGAGAATATCATGGCTGCGGAATTTAAGAACATGGTTTAAGAAAACCTCAATGGAGCTGTTTCGAGCCGCAGCGAGCAAGGTTATGATTGCCAATATGATTTCCAACATCCAAAACGAATAGGAACCAGAAGAAGAAGAAGAAGAAGAATATTCGTGAATTTTTAATACAAACTTTTTTCTGTCCAGGGTTTGTAGGTCTGCTGAAAATATAAGTACTTATCTATTGCTGAACGTGGATTAAAAAATTTGTATCTGACATTGACATATGACATCTAGCAGGCATTTTAAAACATCTTAAAATATCTGCCATTGTACATTTAAAATCACTTATCTTTAACATATTTTTTTAATTAAAATTTTGATTAATTCTTATTTATTTTATTAAAGTTTAATATTCTACAACTGTTATTTTAATATTCTATAACTTTTAGTTATGAGACAAAATCAAATTTAAATAAAGATAGTTTTCCATACCTCTGCTTAAGTTTGACTTCTGTTTTTCCACTTAAAGGAGCTCCTGCTGAGAATATTTCTGCGACAGAGGACAAGTCGTATTTGTTTACTTTAGGACTTTTTGCCAAGAAAATCGCTAAGGGTGGAGCCAGTCTTACAACTGATACTTTGTAGTCTTGAAGTGCTTTCAAAAACGAGTCTTCCGAAAACTTATCCATCATAATTGTGAGATGTCTGTTAAAGAATGACGTCAGGCCGAAAAATAATCCGTATGAGTGAAAGAAGGGCATTAGTCCAAGCACTATGGAATGATGTGATAAGTAATCTGGATATCTGGAAAATATATTTTTTTAATTATGTTTACCTTAATTTTAATAAATCAATATCAAAGTGTCTTTACTTATAATATGTCTTCTTACCTGGACTGTAATAATCGTGTAACTACATTAAAATGTGTCAACATTACTCCTTTAGGAAGACCAGTAGTGCCAGAAGAACATAATACGAAGGCTACGTTCTCTTTTGGGTCACCATCAAAAGGAATAAACTTTTGAGGAGAGACCAGTTTTCCTTTGAGAAGTCGTTTTATAAATGATTTCATGGTTTCAGTTCCTTCGATTTCTTCGTCACTGTCTATAACGATAATTTTTTCGATAAATTTCATATCGCGTTGTAGTGCTAGGTACCTAAAAAGAAAAATATTTGTATATTATTTGTAAACACACACACACACACATATATATATATATATATATATATATATATATATATATATTATATATATATATATATATATATATATATATATATAAAGAAAGAGAAAAAATAAGAGCAGATAAAAGCTGGAAAGAAGTTTGTTGCTGAAACAAGCAGCAGCAAATTTCCTAAAGTAAAGAAGAACGTGGATAGATAGAGAATACGTGGAAGAGATGTTTCAAGACCGAGAGAGGACGAACATTGTGCAGGAGGCATAGACTGGACCTTATATCACAAAGCAAGAAATTATCAAAGCGGCAAATCATTTAAAGAACGGAAAAGCTGTTGGGGAAGATAATATCCCAATTGAAATAATACAGATATTACTAGACGAACACATCGAAGTAATGGAAGATATATTTAACAAAATATATGAAACATGCATAATACCAAATGATTGGCTGACATCGGTGTTTATACCACTACCAAAGAAGAGAAACTCCAAGAAATGTGAAGACCATAGGATTATTAGCCTGATGAATCATATGTTGAAGCTTTTCCTACGAGTAATACACAATAGAGAAGAAACATCTAGAAAAATTAATATCGAGAAGGGAGTAAGACCGCGATGTGTCCTATCACCTTTGCTGTTCAATGTTTACTCTGAGAAGATATTTCAGAAAGCTTTGGAAGGCACCTCGGATGGTATAATTATAAACGGGCAATGTATAAATAACCTGCGATATGCTGATGACACTGTCATACTGGCAGATAATGCTGAAGTCCTGCAACGCCTAATGGACTGAGTAACGACAGCCTGTAGAGAATTTGGAATGAAATTGAATACAAATAAGACAAAAACGATGGTCATCAGCAAGCACCAAAACAGAAGGGTGAAGGTCAATGTCGACGGAACAGATCTGGAAAGAGTAACAAGAACAACGTACTTTGGAAGTAATCTTGATGAAACTTGGGACCACTCACTAGAGATAAGAATACGCCTGGAAAAGGCACGTACAGTGTTTTACAAAATGCAAAAAGCTCTATGCAACCGCCAGCTGGGCATCTCATTTAGAACTAGAATACTTAAGTGCTATGTTTTCTCCACCTTTCTCTATGGTATTAAAGCCTGGACAATGACAGAAGCAACACAAAAAAGAATCCAAGCATTCGAATTCTGGTGTTACCGTAAAAAGCTCAGAATATCCTACATGAGCCATACGACAAATGCGGAAGTCTTACGGAGGATGAATAAGGAAAGAGAGCTTATGCTTATAATAAAAGAACGGAAAACACAATATTTTGGTCACATCATAAGAAATCAAAAGTATGAACTGCTCCAACTTATAATCGAAGGCAAAGTCAATAGCAAAAGGGACCAGGAAGAAGACGCAACTCCTGGCTTAAAAACCTACGGCAATGGATGAACATGACCTCCATAGAACTATTTAGGGCTGCTACAAATAAGATTAAATGGGCAAATGTAATGGCCAACGTCCTTAAGGATAAGGCACCGTAAGAAGAAGAAGAAAGGGGAACATTTGAAAATACCATTATAGTGTGCTCCAAATTAAAAAATAATAACTGACAAAATATTATTTTACTACTTAATAGAGATCTAACAAACTTATTACCTTTTTGTTACACGTTTTGAGCAAAAAGCCAATATTGGTTTGGTTATATTTAGCGTGTGCTTCAGTTCCTGGTCTGTGTAATTTACATTAAGTGGTGCCATAATTGTGCCTGCAAAAATAGAAGCCATAATCGGTACAAAGAACTCGAGATTATTCTCGCTTCCTATACAGATAGCTGTGTTTGAAGTACAACCATAGGCTCTTAATGCTTCGGCAAGTTGACATGACTCCTCCAGCAGCTTTTGGCTTGTGAGTTCTTTACCAGTGTGTGAGTCAATCTGCAAATAATAATAGCGTCAATAAATAGACAATATAACCTGTCACCAGTTTATCATAACGGATTTTTAAACTATGTTTTCTCAAAAGTATAATAATAATCCTTGTATCGGCATGTAAGTAATATTTATTTAATGTATTTCAATTGTTACTAAATCTATTTTCGCTTAATTTTATTTTATTTAATTCTGATGCAGTTTTTTTTAAGACATCATTGGTTTTCCGACTGTAAAGCCTGCAAAATGTCAAATTTAGCTGAATCTTATCGACCCATTTCTCTCTTTTTTTGATGGATTAGAATATATAAAATGATTGTGATGTGCAATTTGAACAGTTCGATTAAAATTTTATAATTTTTAAGATTTTGAAGATTTAACACCCCAAAATAAAATTTGATTTTTCACATATATATTATTACCAAATCTATTATGCTTATCTTTCATTATGTAAGTGGTTCACTAAGTAATGTTCAGGGTGATGCTTAGTACATTAACATATCTGACTCTTCGATAACCTCACAATCTTGAACAGACACGTCAAGTCCGTCTTTAATCAACCGAGAATTGATAAAAGGTGATAAATTTCAATGTTGTTGAAGCTACCTCTAAAATAGAATAGTTTATGTTTTCTTAACACAACATTCTTACCATATATATATATATATATATATATATATATATATATATATATATATATATATATATAAATATATATATATATATATATATATATATATATAAATGTATATATATATATATATATTATATGTATATATATATATATATATATATATATATATATATATATATATACAACATATACAATATATAGTGTGTACACGGGTAAGGTGTCCAAAAGGAGAAACCTTTTTAATTTTTTTTAGCGAAAAATTCTTGATAAAAAGCTTTTGTTTTAAAACACCCTATGAATGAATGAAATTTAGGTTTTTTAAGACCTGCTTTATTGTATAGAAATTTTTATGTTAATTGTCTATGCAATATAAAAAAATGCATACATAATGTATGAAATTTTGCACTTAGTTTGGAAATTATAACCCAGTGAGTGATGATTTCATCAGAAATCTAGTGAATGTCATTTGTGCCATTTTTTAAACAATAATATTTGAAATTGTCATATGGCAACAAATTTTAATTAAAATCAGAAAAAAAATTATTTAAACAGTAAAAAAAGTAAAACTTGAGACAGACAGTTCTCCCCTCCTCAACCTATTTCATTAGAGACTATTAAGTGTAAACGCATGCCAAAAATAGATCACTTGAGAAAGGCAATAAGTCGAAACAGCTGTAGTGATAAGAGGTTAAAATGAATTTTGTGGAAGTTTGAAAACAAAGTTTTCAGTGTTTTAATGTTACATAAAATGAATTTCCATCAAGTAACGGTCGAATCCATCAATTATGTAAAATAATAATATAAAAAAAACAGTAAATAGAAAAACCTCCCCACTGGGATGATAACAGTTATTTTCCTTTTATTAGACGAATATTGAGCTGATGTATCCAACATTCCAATCATCACGGATATTTTGTCCGTTTAAGCATTTGTTAAATAGTTGAACCAACATCTCATGAAATATTTTTGGTGTGTACTCAATTGTGATGTCTCCAGGTCCTGCTGCTTTACCGTTTTTCAATCTTTAGAGGGCATCACTTAACTCTCCGGTTGTTTTATTGTTATATATTCTCCGGTTCGACTATTCAGATATTTTTAGTCTTATTTTCGTGAATTTATATATCTTATTAACCTCTTGTATTAAAAATTTGCAGATTAAAATAATTACTTATATACTCAAAATAAAACCTCGACCTTGTTCTTAATTGCACAATATCACACTTTATGAAAAATTAGTATAATTTGTTATAGTGATATAAATAAATTAAAGTTTGAACAAAAATAGTTAATATTTACAATTATAATATAGATTTTATGCTACTAAAATGACTGTTTACAAATACGAAATATTCCATTTAGATTAAGTACTTAAGTAAACAATAATAACATTACAATGGATAAAAATTGTTAATGATACTACTACATCGTGGTAATAGAAGTACGTAACTTTATTTTTCCTTTCTTAAATTTTGATTTTGAGTTAATTGAACTAGTTTAATTTTTGCTATAATTTTTATTTCTTCTATCTTTTCTACCTATACTCTTTGTTGGTGTCCATTGTATTTATTATTTGACTGTTTTATTCCATTTCTTTTTGGTTGTCTTGTGAAATTTGTTTTTTGCCTGTTTTTTGCCTGAACCACAGGCACGCGGGCCGCATGCGGCCTGATGCTCGTTAAACTGCGGCCCCCGCAATCATTGTCATTGATAACTTTTACCTGTTCCAACTCTGTCTAACTTTCGGTAATCTTAAAAAAGAAGTTAACCTTGAACATCCACTCTTAATGAGCAAGAAGTTAGCTTCAGCCAGCTGCACGTGTCGTGTTGAATTAACATTGGGGAATAAATTTAATGTTAAGTTCAGAATGAGTAGTGCCAAAAAAACGCAAAATTTTTGAAGAGAATCGTACGTTTCAAGGAAAATGGGAAAATCAATATTTTTTCATCGAATTAAAAGGTAAACCTCAGTGCATTGTTTGTTTTCAAGTACTCGCGGTATTAACAGAATACAATATTAGTAGGTATTATAAAACTCAGCAAAAAAAAAACTTAATACGACAAATATCAAGGTGAAGCACGCGATACTCTTGTAAAAGAACTTAAAGCTAAATTAAATAAACAAAAATCTCTATATACAAGATCAACAGCTGTTCAATCATCAAGTTTAGCAGCATCATATGAAATATTTTAAGAGCTCAAAAGTAAAAAAGCATTTAGAGATGGAGAAATGATCAAGCAGTGTGCCGTTAAAATGGCGTGATCCTTTGGACATGAAAAGATCGCCCAAAATTTTGAATGTGTTTTAATTTCCTATCAAACTGTATCTAGAAGAACTGATGAGCTGAATACTTATGTATAAAAAAAAATAGTCGACACAGTTTGTAATTGTTTGTACTACTCCTAAGCCTTGGACGAATCTGTTCAAATTACTGACAAAAATCAGCTATTAATTTTTATTAGATGCATCAATAAAGAATCCACAAGGAAAATAAATTCCTGCAGCTGGCTGTATACCATGTATTACAAAAAGAGATTTAATCTTTGTAAGTAGATGTATTTAAAAAACCCTTAAAAGGGCTACATAAAATTAACAAACGTTTTCGGAATAATAATTCCATCATCACGTTAAAAGCCTAAAATAAGTAAAAACCATTTACTTAAAGCAAACGTGATTGAAATGTTGACTAAGATTAGAAAAGCAAAATGGTTATATTTACAGGTTAACATGCCTAAGTCACCAAAATATTAGGGTAAAAACCCTTTAAAGAAAATAAAGTTACCAAAGATTGTACATATTGATGTTAAAAATTAATGATGTTTAATATTTTATTATATTTTACTTCAGGTAACATACACCCATGCCTTACGTGAGCACCAGCTTCCGGAGAGTAAACCTCTTCAAACGGACTTCAGCTGGTAACTGATTGATAAGATACCTATGAACGGTGTCGAAAACAAAATGTCAATCCACCATGGAACAGTTTTAGTTATACATAATATCACTACAGCCATATGATTCAAAAGCTTTATTGATGTTAAAAATGATAACAGTAATCCAGGTGTTGGGATTTAAGAAAGTTTTTTTCTTATTGAATTTTGGATATGAAAGATGTAACATTACCGCTGGAGTTAAAAGTCATGTTTAAGAGAATGACGTATGCTTTAGGCAGCCTATGTTACTCTTTGTCGTATGGAATATGGTCTAAAAAGGGTAATTTGTGCCTGATTAGCTTAGATTTAATGATATTGTCGTTTATGTTGATCACATCAAGGATAGGGTAAAATTGAATTGTATATATTTGTAGCTAATATAAAATAGAAAACAGAAAGTAGAAAATATTGGTGAAAAAGTCGATGAGGGCTTAAATAAAATCGTAACGACAGTAAAAGAAATCTGTGTGAGAAATTTAGAAGGCAGGTCAAAGCCAAAAAAGCAGGTTTGGATGACAGATGATATATTGGATTTGATGGAACAACGGCGACTAGCAAAAACCAACGAAACACTTTACAATAGCATACAAAAAGAAATTCGACGCAAAATACGAGAAGCAAAGAGTCAACATCTAGCCAAACAGTGTCATGACATTGAAGAACTCGAAAAAAGATACGACACTTTTAACATGTATAAAAAAGTAAAAGAAGCGGCTGGTATCTTCAATAAGAAACAAAATGCATTGCTACAGGATGAAAATGGTAAAGTAATATTCGAAGTAGAGGACAAACTTAAAGAATGGGAAAATTACGTCACGAACCTATTCGAAGACGATAGGAGTAGTTCACCTCCCGATATTACTAACGGCGACGGACCCCTAATAACACGCTGTGAGGTTATAAAGGCCATGCAATCATCAAAAGATGGCAGAGCGACTGGTCCTGATGAAATTCCAACTGAAATATATAAGCTTATAAAGGATAGCAATGTTTTAGAGGCTATAACTTCGTTTTTCAATACCATTTATACCAGCGGACAACTACCTAATGGCTGGTCTAACTCACTGTTTATAGCTCTACCTAAGAAGACAACAGCAAAAACCTGTGCTGATTATAGAACCATCAGTTTGTTAAACCACTTATTGAAAATTTTTCTGAAGGTAATACTTGGTCGTATCTACAATAAATGTGAGAAATACCTGGATGACACTCAGTTTGGTTTCCGTAACGGATTTGGGACGAGAGAGGCACTGTTTGGAATGAACGTACTTGCTCAAAGATGTCGTGATATATCTGTAGACATATACTGTTGTTTTATTGACTTTCAAAAGGCATTTGATCGTGTTAAGCACTCTATATTGATCGAAGCTCTAAAAGACATTGGCTTGGACGGCAGAGATGTTCGAATAATTGCAAATTTATATTGGAATCAAACAACATCAGTTTTAGTAGATGGTGTGGAATCACAAGCTCTCACTATTAAAAGAGGAGTACGGCAGGGATGCCTCTTGTCACCCCTGCTTTTTAACGTTTACTCCGAAAGAATTTTCAGAAAAGAACTTTCTGAAAAACAAAAAGGAATACTTGTGAACGGCGAAGTCATCAATAATTTGCGATATGCGGACGATACAGTACTCCTAGCTTCTAGTCAAGAAGATCTGCAAACACTACTTGATAGTGTCGTTAAGAGTTGTAGGGAGGCAGGTCTGGATCTTAACAAATGGAAAACCAAAATACTTGTAATAAGTAAACAACAGAATATAAAACCGTCTATATATGTAAATAATACCAAACTTGAGCAAGTTGATAAAATCGTCTACCTTGGACAGCAATTAAATTGTAATGCAGAAAATCACGGCGAAATTAGATTTAGAATAGAGCAGGCTAGAGCTGCTTTTAGAAGGATGTCCAAGGTGTTATGTAACAGAGACCTAAAATTGGCATTAAGGATCCGCCTACTTTGCTGCTACGTGTTCTCGGTCTTACTTTATGCTGTCGAGTCCTGGACTGCGAATAAAATCGATCTAAATCGCCTTGAGGCTTTCGAAATGTGGTGCTATAGAAGAATTTTAAAAGTTTCCTGGGTGGAGAAAATTCGTAACTCCACAATACTTGAACGTCTCAGCAAGACCACTGAGATCATAAAAAGCATCAAGCAGAGAAAGCTGGAATATTTCGGACATGTAATGAGAGGTCCCAAATATAGATTGCTACAAAATATCATGCAAAGAAAAATAGCAGGCAAACGCAGTCCAGGACGAAGAAGAACCTCATGGTTGAAGAACTTGCGAGATTGGTATGGTGTAGATACAAGCATGCTATTTAGGGTGACAGTGAATAAAATTAAAATAGCTATGATGGTAACCAACGTTCTGAAAGGACATAGTACATGAAGAAGAAGAGTAGCTAATATAAGACCTCGTTTTTAAATGAGATTGTTTATGACTGCTCGTATGGTAAAAAGGTTAATATAAGTAGGTCTAATAAATTGAGTAAGGGTTTAAAATCTTCCGGCTGAAGAAATTAAAGTTATAACCTATGGGACTAAATTTAAAATGATAAGGCTGAGCTCCTCAGAGGCTTGAAAAGTATATGGGTTTAAGGAAAATAAGTGAGTTAATCAACAAATTAGAGATAACAGAGGTCCCTCATGCTAAAACCATCCAGCACCTTGAACAAAATCTATTTTGGTTATATTAAATTCGGTTTATAAAAACCTGAAATTTGATGGATGAGTGTGCTGTACTAAATTGTTGACTAAGAGAGGGGAGCAGTGGTTGAATAAGGATTTTTCTTTAAAATTAATAATTGGGAGGGTGAGAAAAAATGAGCCTGTGTCTGAGAAAGGGAAATAGTGAATTCTGATCAATTATTGTTGGATTGTGTTTGAATGATTACTGAGTTTAAAAGTAATGAGTAGATGGTTGATATATGAAATGACAGAAACATAATAAAAGAAAGTAGAATGGACATATATGATGTAGACATTAAGAGTAGGGAAAATGAAATAGTGAAGTATGATGGATATGGGTAGATATGAAGTTAACAATAAGGTCGGACATATAAGTGGTGTGATAATAGTGTAAAGAAAGTTGTGGTTTAAAGAAACACAATTATTGAATAGGAATAAGGGTGTGGACGTTTATAGAGGAAGGTCGAAGCAAAGAAGGTGGGGCAAATTGAGAAATGTGGGCTATGAGAAGAGTTGTCGGTGTAAAGGTTGAAAGTCACGGTTGAGAGATATATGGCGATTAACGCAGTTGGGACTTCTTTGCTTTTCTTTAACTATTTCCAAGTCTTCATACAGATCTAATTTTAGAAATTTCTCAAAAGATTTTTCTATATTTCTATTCTATTTTCTCTTGGCAATAAGCCAAGATCAAGACCAAGACCAGGTGTATTGGCGCAAGACCAAGAACAAAGACTGTCTAAGTCGCATCTTGTTCTTGCATTTTGGGCAACACTAAAATCAAAATCAAAAGGATCAACAAATCTACTAAAACAACACAATAAAAGTTCTCTATTGTTCAACCTGAATATGGATGAAATAAAAAAAAAATTAAGAACTAAAAAAGGAAACCATATTGGAGAAAAAATAATCTGCCATGCAGACGATGCAATACTTTTATCTCAAAGTATAGATAATTTACATCGTATGCTGCACCAAATTAATATAACCGTCAGAAAATTTAACATGTTAAATTCACCAAAACAAAAAAACAACATGCATGGTTATAACAGCAAAACTTCAAAATATAAATAAGAGCTGGAAGGTCAGATAATAAAACAAAAATGATGGGGTTTAAATATTGAGGCAACACACTATCTAGCTACAAAAAGTTTGAAATAGAAGTGGAAGATCAAGTGAATAAGGCAAACAAAGAAACAGTTTTTTTGCCAAAAATTTACAAAAATGGGAATGTCCTCACCTCCGCAAAACATCTACTAATAAGGTAATGGTGTCCTTTAATGATAATAAGTATGATGAAATTTATGAAATAAATATAAAAAAAATGAATAAACATGTTTGAGACAAGTTATGTAAGATTAATGTTAAGCAGAAAATAATAATAGTCTCTATGGAAAATATTAGTGATAAAAATGATAATAAGGACTTTTGCAAAACAACTAAACAGTAGTTAAATGCTACATACCATAATTTTGTGTCCATACGGATTTTCCAACAAAACTTTTAAAAAAGCTTGCCCCAAAGTCTCATTCTTTAGAGCCTCGTGAGGCGGCGGGCCGCTGATTTCGAAACTAGTGTTATCTTTTACCATTTTCAAAATCAAGTTCACTGCTGCAGTCAATGTCAACTTTACCATACCAAAGCTCGGAGTGATATAAAGTTATCGGGTTTGATGTTTTAGGTCTCGATTAAAATAGAAACTAATAAGGTCAAATTTAATTTGTTCGGGTAAAGAATATCGCGTTTTGTTTTCTTTACGGCATGTTAAAGGGGGGATTAGGAATTTTGGAACCGTACATCTTACACGTTTGATTGCGATGAGAAATTCTCTAATTACTTTGCAATTAAAATAATTTTTTCTTTAAATATACGTAAAGTGTTGACGTAATATTACGGTGTGGATTTAACTATGTAAAATAATGCAAGTGAACGATTTTTGTGTTTGAAGATTTGTATAATAAGTGTATTATTTTATTAATTGTTAATATAAAATCATTATAATTGTGGTTGGACTTATCTCCTAATAATTTTGACCCAACAAAAGAAGCTTTTCTACTAACTTTATTTAGAATAACATCTACTATCATCACAAACATGTATCTAGTTTTCTTTTTAATACGTAATTATAAATTGGAGGGTTAAATTCATATCTATCTGTCTATCTATAGCCCAAAATCTATTCATGTGTTGAATATAGGCCTCTCCCATTTATCTTCATTTGTCTCTGTCTTCTGTTTGTCTTTTCCACATTGGACCTGCGTTTTGCTCAATGTCATCTTTCCATCCAATTTGCGGTCGACCTCTTGACCTCTTTGCGGTATATGGTTTCCAGCGACCAATTTCTTTATTCCATCTTCCATCCTGATATCTTTCGTTATACCCAGCCCATTTCCATTTTAATTTCATTGCATGTTCGACAGCGTCTATTGTTTCGGTTTTGCATCTTATTTACTCGTTTCTCTTTTAATCTCTCAACGATATTCCCAACATATGTCTTTCCATAGCTCTTTGAGTTTTCTTTATTCTATCTAAGTTGCTCTTGGTACACGTCCACGTCTGGGCACCATATGTCAGAACAGGTAGGACGCATGCATTAAATACCTTCGTTCTTAATTTTAAAGGTATTTTTTGGTTTTTGATAGTATATAAGAGTTTTACGAGTGCAGCCCATCCCATTATTATTCTTCTGGTTATTTCTTTAGTCTGGTTACTTTTGTCTGCTCTGATAGCTTGTCCTAAGTAAATATATTCTTGGACGTATCTTATGTTTCTTCCACCTATGATAATTACTGATCTGTCTTCTGTATTAGTCATTATTTTGGTTTTCTTTGGATTTATTTTTGGTCCTTTCTCCAGAGGTGTTTTTTCTAGGTCTGAAATCATTATTCGCAGTTGTTCCATAGTTGTTGCTATCAGGAGTATATCATCGGCGAATCTTAGATGATTTAAATATTTTCCGTTTATACAAATCCTTTATTGTCCCAGTCTATAGATTTAAAAATGTCTTAAAACGCCAGAGTAAATAGTTTGGGTAAGATTGTATCCCCTTGTCTGATACCTTTACAAATTCTAATTAATGGAATTTGCAAATCTCTGTCTAGCTGAATTCTCATAGGGGCGTTTTGATATATATTGTGGATTAACATTCTGTACCGGGAACCTATTCGGCAATTAACTAGTGCTTCTTCCACTGCCCATAGTTCTATGCTGTCAAACGCTTTTTCATAGTCAACAAACGCTTGGTATATTGGAAGGTTGTATTCGTTGGTCTTTTCTATCAATATTTTAAGAGTGTGAAAGCGGTCGGTTATGCTGTACTCCTTTCTTAATCCTGCCTGCTCAACTGGTTGATATGCATCAAATTTGTTGTTTAGTCTACATTAGTGAAAGTTTTATAGATTTGTGACAAGAGAGATATTGGTCTATAGTTAGCTAATTTTGATCTATTTTCTTTCTTATATATCAGAATTGTATTTGCCTTGTTCCACTCTTGCGGCATTTGTCCTTTAAACAAACATTTATTGAAAAGTATCTTTAGATAGTCTTTAATCTTTTCCTCTTCTTCTTTTAACTTAGACTTTCATCGTCTCCAGGAGCCTTATTTCTTTTTATATCTCTAACTGCTTTTTTTATTTCTTTTCCGGTTATGGGGGGTAATATTTCAGAGTTTACATTCATTATTTTCTTTTTCAGGTTTTGTTAAGTTGTATCAGGTGGACTGTTTTTAGAGCTGTAGAGGTCACTATAATATTCCCTTGTTATCTTAGATATTTGGGTTCCGCTGTTTTTTCATTACACCTTGTTTATTTTCCATTTCTATGATTTTATTTCTTCTTAGGTGAGACTTGGTAGTAATTTCTGTTTTCTTCTATAATCTTCTCGATTCGTTGTTCTTGATCCGTTTGAAACCTTGTTTTATATGTCTTTTTATTTCTGTAATAAGGGTTTTGTATTCAGTTGTATTTCTTTTATTTTCTTGTAGTAGGCTTGTTCGTTGTTGTAGCATGTCTAAAGATATGGCACTTAGTTTTGATTTTTTGTCTGATTTTGCTGGTGCTACTTCTAAGCTAGTCTTTAAAAGTTCTTCAGTGATGGTTTTGTTTCATAAATTCATATATACTTTTTAATGTACCATTTTGTTAAAATCGGTAGCATGTCTAAGTTTTTATTAAAATATTTTTATTCTGTTTCCTGTTTTTAAATTTGTTACATAAAACATGTTAAACAGTTCAGTGGCTATTCGGTTGATCATATGGTAGTGTCACAACAGTATGATCTGCTAGACTAGAATGTACTTAAAGTTTTATTGTTTATGTTATAAAGCACTATCTTTCTTTTAATACTTACTAATTTTATGTTTTTGCATTTTCTTTTGCTCCATTTTGTAATGCCAATTATAGATATGAAAGTATATTCCATATTTTAGAGGTATATTATTATTAAAATTAATGATTTCATCGTCCAAGCTTATCAATTTGTTTAATAGTAATTATAGCTTGAAATGAACAATATAAATATCATCATTATTTGTAATTTAGTATATTTTTCTCTCTCTGCCCCTCCCTTACTCTTTTTCTTTTTTATGTATTTTTTAATGTTTATTTATTTTAATGTAGTAGACATTTTAGTTTATTTTCTTCTTTTCGATAATTGTGTAATACTTATTCTGTCGGGCTAGCATATTTTCAGAATTTTTCTTAAAGATTTCTTTTATGTACAAAAAACCCGCTTTAACGTAACGTTTAAGGTTATTAGCGGAACGATGACAAATAATTACACATTGCTTACTAAATTAACGTCTTTTAAAGGACGTTCTTCTTTCTTAAACAAATTTCCATGAGAAAACTGAGTATGTCCAAGTCATAAATGGAAAATATTTGCTTTCGTCTGGATACCTCGGATGGTTGCTATGGTTCAATCTTTTTTGTATCTTCTAAAGTTTTGATGGTGTGGATTTCCATTTTATTGTTCTAGTTTTCAAACAGGTGTTTTATAAAAGAGCTTTTTAGATCCATACTTACAGATTGGGTGATATGGGGATACTGTTGTCGTTTATAGTTTCTTTAGCAATTTTGTCCGCTTCTTCGTTACCTGATATTCCAACATATGATGGGACCTGGAGAAAATGATGCTTGTGTCTTTATTATGCAATTTGTTTAGTTCTTCCTTTATTAGTAAAGCTTAAGCGAATATGCAGGTTTGTTTTTCCTTACACCTTGTCCTGATACCTTTGTTTCGCGCACCAGTCATAGGTCGCTGTTTTTCCCTTGGGAAACAAGTTTTGTCCTTAAGGAAATAGGTTCACTTTGCATACTTCTTTGAAGGACTATCCAGAAAACTGCAACAAATAAAAATTTTAAAAAGAACGTTTTAACAGGTCTATTTAAACAATTACAACGTATTTTGGACGCCCATAACTTGCTTACGACATGACAGCTGATTTATGAAACTAAATTTTCATCATCATCATTGGTGCTACAGCCCTATAAAAGAGTTTCGACCTTTCCAAGTCTATTACGCCAGTCAGGTTTATCCATTGCCAATTGTTGCTAGTTTGCTGCGCCTATTTTTCTACCATCCTTTTCTACACCATCCCTCCATCTGAGTTTTGGCCTACCCCTACTTCTACTTCCCGCAGGTTGTGATATAAGGATTCTTCGAGAAGGGTTGTTCTGCTGTGATCTTGCCAGATGTCCTGCCCATCTTAGTCTTCCTATTTTTATAAGAGATCCTACGTCTTTACCACCAAATATATATTTATATCTGTGATATATCCCGTAGTTGTACCTCCTTCTCCAAACACCACGTTCACAGATGCCACCGAATATCCGTCACAATATCCATCGTTCAAATATAAGCAGGAGCTTTTTCATCTGCTTTGGAGATGGTCCATGTCTCTGATCCATATGTCAACACTGGTTGTATAATGGTTTTGTGATTGGTTATTTTTATTTTTTGGCTTAAATTTCTGCTTCTCTTACGTCTACTTAATCCAAAATGGCATTTTTTTGCTAAAGATTATTCTTCGCTTGATTTTTTCCGTCATGACGTTCTCCTTGGTGATCAGGGAGCCTAAGTAGGTGAATTTGTCCACCACTTTAAAAGTAGAGTTATCAACAGTGAATTGGTGGCCGATGTTTCTAGCTCTATTGTTGGGTGTTGATTTTGAAGCATTTGACAAGGTGGTATACATTTCTTCTAGTTTGCGTGTTGTGCGGGCAACTAGGTCAACATTATCTGCATATGCCAAAATTTGGGATGACTTAATAAAAATGTTTCCCCTGTTGTCTATTTGGGCATCACTGACCTCCTTTTCCAGAGCTATGTTGAAAAGGAGACACGCCAGCGCATCTTACATGGTTTGGATGTAAACAAAGCAACGTTTCTTAGTGTGCTGTCATAACGACGCGCTGACCCTCGCTCGGACCATAGGATGGTATCATATTATCATCGACAGGTAAAATAAATACAATATTCTAAATGTGAGCGTTCACTTTCAGTGCTATGATCTAGGCGAGGATGCGATGGTCTTCATTATGAACGTACCCTTAGAGTGCGTTCATTACGGAAACCATCGCATCGTATCCTTGCCAGATTATAGCACTGACATTGAACGCTCACATTTAAAATATTGCATTTATTTTACCTGTTGATGATAATATGATATCATCCTATGGTCCGCGCGAGGGTCGGCGCCTCGTTATGAGTGCACACTTAGTGAGAGCGCCCACCAAAGTGGCGTGGCACGTAGCAAGTGGCAAGTAGCACGCGTCTAACATGTTTCTTAAAATGTA